CTGATAATTATTAATGATGATTTTTCCTGAATGAAGTTTGATACATTGATGATATCATTGTCATACTGTGAAGAAAGGCACATTGCCCCCCTGTATATGGAAAAATTATTTAAGAGTTTTGATTATCATTGTGTATCATGTATAATTTCCTTTTGAAATATTGTCAATATTCTCATTGCCATTAAAAGCATTCATTTGTCTTTGCTTTCATTTTTGGGGTGCTTGATATTCTGAGATATTTTTTGTTGTTGTTGTGGTTGTTTTGTGAATAAGTAGTTGTATTTACTAATGAAACCAATATTCTTTTTGTGCTACTATATGCTTTGAAAATTGATGAAGTTTGTTTATCTGTGTTAGAAAATGCTTCCTCAATGCGTTAGTTTTGTTTATTGCATTGATTAACAGATCTTTTGGTTTTCAAGCCATATTCAGTCTATGATCTTACAATCTGTATGATACAAGAAAAATTTTTCAGTCTGCGTTTGATTTGGTATTTTTTAAACTTTGTAAGAAACTGGAGAAATGCTTGGTTCTTTCCTTACTCAATATTGTTTCAATTTGTTTCCTTCTTGAGATCATGCTTGAGATTCCTTTTGTGGGTTTGCAAACATTTCTGTAATCAATTCTGATGGATATGGATTGTTTGTATTTTACAATGGTCATATGATTCTGGGCTTGACAATATGCAACATTTTGATAAATTCAATTTTTTGTATTCTCCTTTGTATATGTTAGAAGTTTGTGTGCCTCTGAAATTTGAATTCTAAGTTCCATTGCTTTTTTATTGGCATGTGATCCTTGCTAAGTTCATTGACATTTTGATTTGGAATTGCAACAATTTCTACTCAAAAATAGCAGATGTCTACAGTATTTTTAATCTGAATCAACTTCTGTGGAAGATAAAGGTTTTTTGCTTGGAGATCATGAAAAATTAACCTTTCTGATAATTGCGCATAATTGAAAATGAAAGTTTGAAGTCATTAGATTGAAAAGGTTTGTTGAAATTGACCTGTTGTTAGGCACATGATTTTTCCTAATTTCTTTGCATGTATTTTTTGGGATAATGAGTAGGAATTGTTTTTGCATTAATGATTGCTTTTTTGTAGTTGAACACGAATCCAAGTGTTGGATGATATAAACGGTATGTTGGGCACTATGCCCCCCTGTCACTGCAATTGCATGAGGTTTCTATGCGTGTCTAGTTTGATGTTAATTTCTTGCAGCCAATTGATGTACTGAACATTTCACAGTCTTCATTCATTGAAACCTGTATGCATTTCCATGATGCTTATGTTTGATGAAATATTCCAGTACCACTGAGAATGAATTCTAATCATGGTGTAAACTAATTGTTTTCAGAATTTTTGCTGTTTTTCTACACAAGTGCAAAGGGAAACATGTCCCCATTGAGTAAAGTGAATGACAAAGTGAGTGTTTTGCAACAACTGTGAAACCATTGAACATTTCTTTCCATAAAAAATGTTGTCTTTTGTGTTGAGATTCTAGAAGTTCTTTGATTTTCATATGACTGATTTTGTTTGGAATTTTTCAAATTATCCATTTATTGAGTCATTTTTCCTTCAAGATGTTGTACTGCACATACTTTATTGAGAAAATTGAATCTGTATGCTTCTCAAAGCCTCAATACATTATTGACTCAATTGTTCCCCATTGATATTAATGAGTGTGTGCTAGATGATAGCATGAATGATGTATTGTTTGTGTTTCATGCTTTGTATTCAACGCTTTGTTTTCAATGTTTTGTATCCACCGCTTTGTAATCACCACTTCATATTCAATGCTTCATACTCAACGCCTTGTATTCAACTGTCATTATTAAACAAGCATGGGTGCTTTCATATGGCCATTGACTTTCTTATATGTGATGAATAAGATGTAGACATTCCTGTTGTACATTCAGTTATTTGTTTTTAATTTCCATAGTTTCAAATTTTTCAGGAGAGGGAATACATTGGTTATATTGATTTTTGGTCTGTTATCCAAGTGAGAAAAATGGATACCATACTTTCTTAGTGCACCGAGTCATTAATGTTATTTTCAAGCATTTCTGTTGGAGTAAACCAGGCATTTCTATGTAAATTTTTCAAGGTACAACTAGTTGACCTTCTGCTTAGGCATCTATCCATCTATCAGCATGAATGAATGAGTTTGAATTGATGAATTTTTGGCTCAGAGCTGTTTTTGCTTGGAATAAGATTTTAGAAGTTATGCTTGTACACATAGAAGAAACTTGCAATGGGAATATGATCATTGAGCATTATGCATCACAATTCTGTCCATTCCAAAATCAGTATGTGTTTTTCATCTGAAAAGTAGCATGGGGAGGCATCCAAGATGGCAAAGCTGATTATTTCTTGGCTTTAGAGTTAGCAAACCTTGAAATGCTAGATGTCTGCATCTGTATGAGTTTGGGAGTTTTCAACCCTATGTTTTGAGTGAGAATTTTCATAAGAAGTTATCTCTCATCAATAGAAGGTAAAATGAATTTCTTTTTTCTCATAATGTTTGGCTTTGATAATTCATTTTCTGTACCCTTGCACATTGACTGACATGAAAAAATGGAAGATTTAAATTGCCACCATCAGTTTTGTAGTTCAAAAACCCACTATGAAGTATTTAGGAATGGTTTTGAATTTTTAGCATTTGGATGAAAATTTTGTTTGACTGTGGTATATGACATGATAATTAATTCTTGACAATGCTTTCAATTTCATTTCTTCATAAAAATTTTGCTTTTATGTGTTGTCAGATGAGTAACAGCTTCTTTGAATGACTGATATGTCTAGGGAACATTTTTCTTTGTCACTTTGATTACATTTTCTAGAAATGCTTCCAAATGGGTAACATCAAATGCTTTCAGAGTGGCACAATAATTTCTAGATGTTTTATTCTCACTTTGCACAGAGGTTACTTGAATAACAAAGGTTTGCTTGTGCTGCACACTATCCATGTATCTTGATGAAAAGGTTATTTTTCTTTGGAAAGAATTCTGCAAAAATGCTCTATGTGCTTGTCAAGAAGCAATACAGCAGATTGAATATGGTGTCTTGAATCTGTGTATGCATGGCTTTAGTTTTGTAATAGATGAATGGAATTTTCCAGAAGAGCTCATGAAGGCAGATATGCAACATTAGAGACAGCAGATGGGGGAGCCTAATGTTGGCTTTCTATGCTTAAAGTATTTTTGTATGCTATCACTAACAAGGTTAACAAACAAGGTTAACATTATCTTGATTTTAATGTCCAATTTCTTCAGAACATTCACTGAAAATTGTTTTGATTCTTATGATGAATCACAGGAAAGAACTGAACAGTTGAGAAACACTCAATGCATGTGCAATAGATTTAGATTTGACCATAACATGTTCATAATTCCTTTCCATCTCATGGTTAGTCATGTTTTTCATGTTATTTCAAGATTGAGTATGATTTGAATTACTTAAAGTGTGTGAATGTACCATTTTCAAGCATGAATGCAGCAGTGATTTCAAAATTTTTCCAATTTGTAAATCCTGATTGTATGAGTGCATATGAAATCCTTGAATGCATGAATTCACTTCTTGAAACAGGAATGAATATGAATATACTGTGTGAGTCTATGTAAGAGGGTGTTTAAGCAGAATTTTCTGTTAAATTCAAATTTTTGCATATAACATCAACACATAGATTGGGAACAATAGCGTTTACTTGCATATGTGCATTGCATCAACTTCAGTGTGGGAACAAAGATGCAGAACATCAAAGCTTCAATTTAAGATGTACAATTTTTTTTCAATATTTGCCAAATTATGTGCTTCTGTATTTCAAAATGCATAACCACTTTATTCTCAGCATTTTTCTTTCATTTGGTTTTGAGATATTTTTAACAGTATAGAAAATTGTATTGTGTTTTTAAACCACATTCGGGATTTTGTTTCACTGAATAAACTGCATAAAATGAGTTATATTGAGAATGATTTGAATGCTGCAGAAATTTTTGATTAGTTTCTATGGATTAGACTACATGGCTGAGGTTTTAATTCCTTGCATTAATTTCACAGCTAATCAATACATATCTGGAATTTTCCACTTAGTTTCAGAGGCTGGCTAAAAATAATGACACTCACAGTACTCACAATCACATAGATTCATTGAATTTGATACTTGCATTGCTGGGAGCCATTTCATGGCCCTGTAGAATGATGACTTACAAGGAGGATACTGGCAGATGATGATGCTGTAGGGGGCTGAATGATGAAAAATTCAAACTTGAGTTTCACACTTTTCATAACTTTTGAAAATTTAAATTAGTTTTGAAAATCTTCATGAACTACAGAGTTGATTTTTTTTTAGTTCTTAGTTCCCTTTTTAATGTGAAAAAAAATTTTTGAGCATGAATTTTTAAGGATCTTTAACATTACACGCTCTGCTACCACTTTTGTGGCGCACAGGCCACAAATAAAAATGAAAACGAGATTAAATTATGAATTTTGATGAATGAAACACTTGGTCCGCCGGGGAACACGGCAGGGAGCCCTTCGGTAAGGACTCCAAAGAGTAAAGAAAAAATGTATTTCAAAAATAGCAAAGAATAAATGCACTGACAAAATAACAGGGAAGTGATGTGGACAATTTGCGAGGAAAATTGGGACTGGTAGAATACTGGGCTCGAAAATGGAGGAGGGAAGTCAATTGTGCAATCGTGGAATTCCAGCGTGGAATTCCCCCTTGGAGGTTTTTCAGGTGTGTTGGAAGGGAGGGGGTCGCGACATCTGTGCCTTACAGGACTGACGAATTTTGATGGCATTAATCTGACGCAGTGATGGTCAGCAATTCACGAGAATTTTCGGAATGCTTCAGATGAATGTCAATGCATTCATGTCTTTCAAGCATGAAAAATACCTCATCGTCACATTAGATGAGGCAAATCTTAGTTTCTGAGCCACGTGATGCAACATTTTTCTCGGAACCGAAAAGGATGGAATTATTGAAAAACATCATGTTCTTATAACAAGATCATATATTTCATATCAACGCGTACATCCTTCATTGGCCACGTGCACAATAATTTTTTTTTCAATCACTCGTCGATTCGATAATGAAAAAACCCTCCAAACACATTCAACATCAACCGTCTTACATTCAGGATAACTGATTAAAGCAGCAAAGCTCTAAAGAAAAGCAAATCAATCGCCGTAAAATTCATAAAAAGGACATTCCTGGCAGTATAGTTTTTTTTTTCTCGATCGATTTCAAAAATTCATGGAACACGAAACCAACGTCGCTTTTTCTCAGCTCGACTAGATGACACAATATATTATTTTTGAAAGATTCATTATTGGGAAATGACGAGAGAACATTTGAATTTCCCTCTCTGCAGTTTCTAAATAGCTCATAGACTCTGATTACATCATAAAATAATAAGGGACAACATTTTGGATCCGGATTCTCGTTCCAGTCGAAAAAAAAAATCTGCTAATTTTCTTTTTTTTATCGAAAGAAGATCGATGGTCGTGAATAGCATGAAAGCGAATGTAAAAAGCCGAGAAATAAAAATCTGCGATTCTTTGGATTCACTTCGTTGTTGTTTTCCTGAGACGAATGCTCATCAAATTGGCGACGACGGGCGAGGAAGGAACTGAATCGCCTTCTGGCCCCACCAAGCTTTCGTGGCACGTTTTGGCTTGCCATTTTTCTTCACTGCCAAATACCATCCGAGATGAGCGTATTTCCGCGACAGGTAACAGTTGTAGACGCCGTGTAAAACCTCTACCCAAACCGTGGCTTCATCATTCGGGTTCGCCTTATTTGAAAGAGAAAAAATTTAATGAATGAAAATTAATGATGCAGCGTAAAAAAAACATTAGATGTCAGAAAGGTTTCGATCTACAATCTGTCCAACAATCAATCTTTTAAATCAGACAACTATTCCATCTTTTATTTCTAAAGCTGAATAACAACTTCAGAACACCGAATCCTAAGCCAGACACCTACCAAACAAATTAAGTAACGGATTAACACAGAAACGGACTGAAGACTGTATGCGACACCTAGCCCAGTTTGATCAGAAATAATCATTTCGGACTTGCAACACGCATGACAGAGCAGGTTCCAAGTGATTTTTGCAATCCATGCTTCATGAAATGAAAAGCAAATTTAAGAACAGATGAAACTGAAATTCCTAAGTTTCATGTGGACAAGGAAGATGTCCTTAAATTCTTGAACGCACTTTGTTCTTCGAAAGTGCAAGCGATAGGACCCCTTCTTTTCGTAAAAAAAAAAAAAAAAAAAATGGAAAAGGGTTCATCAATCTTTTTCGAAGAAATACAGTATTTTGACATTCATTTCATTAATTCAAAACCAAAGCTTCTCACTTTCTTGCATTACCAATATTTCTGAATGAATACGCACAAATATTTATTATACTGTTTAATTATTTTATGCCAAATTTTCATGTGGCATTTACTTACTTCTCCGTACAATCGTCCCTTTTTGTCCATGGCGAGGTAGAGTCCGGTTTCCAGGCCTCGGAACTGCATATCACTCACGTGAGCGATAACTATCAACTCCATCTTGGCTGTAAAATTAAGCAATAAAAGAAGTTATTCATATTATCATCCATTTTCCAATCTATTGAAACTGTCGAAATTACCGCTCGTGAAAGCATGAATTTATGGAGAACATCGATCAATTCCATTGGATCATCAGACTATTTGACTGTGTCAAAAGATTTTTTCATCGCAGTTTTATTTCCTTTGGGGGAAACAAATAATATTTTCCCCAGTAAAAATAGCATCTCCGTTGTTTTAGAAATCGTTGGAAAAGTCAAAGACTAATCCAGAAAGAAAAACTTCACGAGGATATTTAAATGGTAAACGTATTTTATTTCAGGGTCGAACTTCAGCTACGCGATTTTTTTTTACAACGTCGAAGGAATAATTTTAAGCACTTCATTTATTTTTCTGAAAAAGACTGCTCTCTTCTAAGGATAGACTAAAATAATTTTTTCATTAATCCATGAGTTTAATTTTTGAACTGGGATATTTAATACAAAGCGATTTCTTCAGTTTCAACTTCCAATCACTTTTGACGAAATAAAACGAAAGCACTGTCTCGTTTGTTGAAATTCTTGTAGCGTCAAAAGTGCTCCCGAGGAAAGATTGATCAGTTTATCTCAGATAAACTGAAAAATAGTGATAGAAAAATGTGGTTCCAGAAACACGTAAAAAATCGAAAAGATCATACTGTATATACATTGTATCGCCATGCAGGCATTTTTATAGAATATCGGACGGATTTGACTGTCTTTTACTTAAAATTAAAGAAATTATTACTGTATGTTCGAGTCTGTTGGGCATACACGCCAAAGTACGATAAAATAGAGTTCAAATTCCCAGATTCCCATTGCGTGTTTAGCTTCATCACTAGATGTCGCTTGAGTCACCTGGACATATTTTCGTTGAGCTCCTTACCCTCATCTTTTAACATTCTAATCTAAGGCATAACAAGGGAAACAAACGAAAAAAAATGGGGGAAAGAACTGTACCATGTGGCAGGAAGGGTTCTCGAGTACCCCGAACGGTACCGTCAGCGAATACAGCAATGTTGTACCCGGTACGACAGTACAGTTGCAGCTTTTGTCGGTATTGAGGTTCTTCGACCGTCGGCGTCGGCGTTGCTGGCCACGACGGTCGCAAACCGCGTCTCGACCCGGCGTAACCAGGTGTCGCTGGCGACGGACCCGGCGATCTTCGTCTATCCGGTGACACACTATATTCAGAATAAAAAAATAAAGGAAAAATTAAAATTTCAAGTCATCCATCTGCAGCTCATCATAAATGGCAAGAAGTGAAGAAAATGTGGGGAAAACGGCACTGAATCTCGTAAAAAAAACCCTGCTTGAACTTGAAACCCCTCCTCTTATTTTCTATTTCGGCATTTTTTTTCTGAAAATTTCTCTGAGATCGCCAACGTTATCATCAATACCCTGAAATTTGCGACCCGAATCATGTATGAAAAATTGTGTGCCGCAGAAATTATGAATATTGTAATTGTATCGTAATTCACGCCTTTTTCTTTCAAGCCATCCCCCGACTTCCGCAGAAAGATTTGAAGCAGAATTCCGCGAGAAATCACGAGAAAATGCCGGAAAATTTTCCAGTTCAGTGTAAAAAGAAAAAAATAGAATCAGACGATTCTTTAGTTTTTGAGATGCTGAATTGCATTGAGTTTCCTTCCGTTCAAAAATGCGCACTGAATTGATTCACCTGTCGTTTTCTTTGCCACAAGACTGTCCCATGATGTTTTTCTTCTTGACCAGCTGAAAGTCCAAGGGAGTAAAATGACGATAATGTTGCACCGATTCAATCACCCACACATCCCATATTATATTCCTGCTTTTCACGATTCTGGACGACGATGATTCCCAGGCAGAAAAATTTGAAGACACACTTGCTTTAAAAAAATATGTATGTCACGCATCAAGACACACTAAATATTTAACCTGAAGTATTACCCTCTCGAGGTTTAATTTTCGATTCCCAACAAAAGTTCAAAATAAAATTCTACATAAGTCAGGATGTGGGTTCGTAATCCCAATCATGAGATTCCAAAATGAGAACGGATAATGCTTCAACAAATTTCCCAATGTACTTTATTTGGCAGGCTTGTTAAAAAAAATCAAAGAGTTGGCAGCAAGAATGGAAGCACACAAAACGAATGTGAAAATTTTGAAGAGGGTGAACGAAATTTTTTTTTATACATAAGGTGCGTAATTCTGTGTGATTTATAAATTGGACTTCATCATGGGAGAGCTCCAACTTAAAAGCTAAGGGTTGGTTTTCAAGTCTTATTTTACGATGTATTGTCAGGATGTGGGTTCGTAATCCCAATCATGAGATTCCAAAATGAGAACTGATAATGCTTCAACAAATTTCCCAATTTACTCTATTTGTCACGCTTGTTAAAAAAATCAAGGAATTGGCAGCAAGAATGGAAGCACGCAAAAATAATGATTCCAACTATATGATTATATTTATTTCCACGAAAGATCACTTCCCACCTTCGGATATGAATCCCACAAAAAATTGCTGTAATCTTTCACTTGATTTATGATTCAAATACAGGCCTATACCAGATTGACCTGCTAAATGATGACGTATTTCAGCGTTATATGTCCTTATAATTGCTAAATTAACAATCACTAGATGTCATATGCTTCTAAAAAAAAGTAAGGAAAATGCTTTTTTATGAACGCATGGGTCGAATCAAAAAGATGCTGGTTATGGTTGCACGCACTTAACGAAAGAAACTATGAGTTGTTGATTTTTTTTTTTGCACACAGGCCGCTTTTTTCCGAAAACATGCCGAACGAAATTTCTTCAAAACATTTTCATCACTCACTGACTTGAGATGCTGAATGTAAAGAGGAACCAGCAGGATGAATTCCAGATTCTAGTGCAAAACGGGGTTGGTTATTCTGACCACCGCGAAATTCAGCTCAGAAACCTCGCAAGAATTCCCCGAAATTCACCATCAAAAAACTCCATAGCGCTCGTCCCTTTATCCCACAATCCAAAATTTTATAACAAGCTCCGGTTTACAAACGCAGCGGAAGGAAGGAAGGAAGCGAGTGTTACCGAAAAACCACTTTCCATGACTGATCATCATCTCAGCTACAGACGGCAGAAAATGGTGAAAAAGAAAAGGTTTGGCAGGCAAGTGGTACATACGTGGGCGTCTCCTCATGACTTTCTGCTTTCACGCTTGTTTACACGGTCGGTGTATGAAAAAAAAAACTGACCAAGAAACCGCATTGACAAGTCTCACCAGGATAAAATTGAAAAGGGAGACCCTGAGATGCGGACGTAATTGGTGCATCAAGAGTGTCCCTAAGTCAAGTCTCATTTTCCCTTAAACTTACATTGTATAATTTTGAATTGGTGTTTTATGAACAAAATACTCACCATAATTCCATGAAAATAAAAATTGTCTCCCAATTGAAACTGATTCCAATCAATATGTTCCAACACAATATATGGGCATTTGGGGAATTGAATACTGATACCTCTGTTCAGTACATACAAATGTTGGCATTCTCTGTAAAAATAATGTTTAAGTAAAAAAGAGAGAAGGAAATCCCTCTCTGCTGGAGATAATTTTTTTAATTAGCTAAATGGATGGTAAATTGGGGAGAGAAATGCCCAAGAACTTTTCTTACTACAATTTTAGGGTTGGAAATATCTGTTTCTTGTAATTTGGGCTGAAATGCATTTGCAATTTTATAACAAAATGTACCTATGTCGAGTCAGTGTCCTCATGTCGGGCCTTTTTTTATTAATTTTTCATGATAAAATAAGTGTCCCTATTTCGATCTGTCCGCAGGTCGAGGTGTCCGCATGTGGAAGTCTCACTGTACTATAAACTTTCGTCTCGCGTGTGTTTGCATTATTGATTGCAAATCAACGATTCTTGTGTTGTTTTTATGTGCCTGAGTCGGCACCAATACTTGGATGGCTGTTTCGCAGAATCTTTCCTACAAAATTCGTTTCGGTTTGTTGCCGAATTTCCATCAGTGGTAGCACATCGAAGAGCATGTTTCCAAAGAATATACACACCAAAGAACGAGGTAATCCCTTTAAAAGTTTCATAACGGCAAATTTTCCAGGTGGAGCAATGTTTTTTTCACGCGTGTCCGGGATTTCGGAGTTACAGTTTTCTAGTCTTCAAAACCATGAGAAATCAGTGCAAATTAATTATTCACTAGGTCAAAAAATATGCAGGCTGTGAAATTTCAAATATTTTGCCGTGTAATCCGTGTAGCAGGTCATCATCTAGCCTTTTTTTTTTTTAGTTTTAAAATGTGGGCTCCGACATCACAAGATCCCACGCAGAAAATATAAACCGCCTACTACCATTTATATTTTCTTAAAGAAAAAATGGAGTGCCTAGCACTTAAAGCTCACAAAGAAAGTAACTTTATGGCCACTATCATGACGTGACTTTATGAGTTCTAATCCCAGTGTAAACTAATAATGTAAAGAGTGACGGACTATATTTTTTTTATTACGACAAGAACAAGCCTTCATCGTTCAGAGAGTTTCTTTAATTGCCCGCATTAAGGAGATGTTTCCTCTTGAGATAGCACGGGCTTTTCAAAAGTTTTCAGCATCACCCAAAAAATCATCGTAGCAATTTTTTTAAAATACCATAGATGTCTGAGAGTTATTGCAGGTTAACAAACAGTAGTTCATCCCATTTAATTCAGAATTTAATGAGCACAAGAAAAATTGGGACTGTACAAAGCATTGACATTGAAAATGGAGGAGGGGAGTTGATGATGCAATCTCTCTTAAGGTCGCACCTTAAGGGACAACCTCTAAAAATCCAAACAGACTTCACTCCCCCAACGCGGTCCGTTGTAGACACGGATTGTGACATGTAACTTTACAACCGTAGATGTTTTTATTGTAAGAAGTCACATAGAGAGAAGGAAGTACCTCTATCAAATAGGTAATTTTTTTAATTGGCAGAATGGATGGGAAAATGATGGGAGAAATGACAAAGAATTTTTCTTGCATACATATTAGGGTTGTAAATATCTGTTTCTTGCAATCAAGCGAAATAAAACTAAATTTTTGTGAAAATTTTTTGAAATTTTCTCATGCAATGTCCTCCTCGTGTTGAGTCAGTGTCTGTGTGTCAGGCCTTTTTAAAGCCCTTTTTATTGACAAATAAATGTCCCTATGTGGAATTGTCCTCATGTTGAGGTTTCCGCATGTTTGGGGTCTCACTTTTCCTTACGCGCGGGACCCACAGCCGTCATTCAAGATTTCTCGACAATCAAATATCGAGATTTGAATGAAGAAAGTGTGGAACTTTTTGAGATAAAAAAAAATATCCCTCATCGCAGTCGGGAGGAGAAGATTCGCGTGCGTCGGGGACTCGTCATCGTCCGGAAACAGCTTTTGACGCCGTGCGTCAAAGCAGAACCCAGATTTCATCACCCTCATTTCATGCGTGCTGAGTTATCTGGAACACGACCGACTGTCCAATTACAGCGCCTATAATCAACTCGTTGCTCCAAAATCGAATCCAGACCACCAACGCCCCCATGAAGCCATGGGTGGAGAATCAAACTACGAGAGAAGAGGAAGAACCGGAATCTTCAATCCACAGTCGTGAGGCCCATGCCCCCTCGTCAACAAGTAAATTGGCATCAATCAGGGTTCCAACTTGGATCCATTACACGGCATCAAGATGTAATCTTAACAAGTTGATTGACATAGATTCCGCCCGGGGCGAATTTATGGACCAATATAAGATGATGAAGCTGTTACTTTTTTTTCCTTTGCTTCAGCTGCGAACCGCGTGGCTCAATAATAAGTGAGAAGCGATCTTCACCACTCCTGGTTGATAATTAGCCTATATAAAGCTTGATTTCTATGAAAATTTCTAGAAATCCAAGGCGTCTCTTTGGTTACATAATACTTGTATAATTGTTCTGGTTCATCCATGGTTTGGAAAAATTCCGAAGGGCTTCAGAAGTCATCAGCGTCGCTTGAGTTTCAATAACTTGTTAACGATGTTTTCACGCTCTTGTTTTAATTCTTTGAAGCTATTTAAAAATATTGATCATCTCTTTTCACCACTCGGATTGGATAAAACCCGGACTGGAGTCAAAAAATTCAAAATAATGTCGAAAAGCAAATGACGTCGAGCGAATTCGAACTCTCTTAATTGACGAGGTTTGGATCACTAAGATTGAATGCCCGAATAAAAATTTTATGAATTTTCGAATGCGTAGCTTCCACACTTCAAACCAAAATTTATTTCTGAAGAATAAATACTGCGTAGCTTGGCTTATTTCTTTCGTGTTGAACAATAATTGTTCTCGGTTCCGGTCAATGCTCTTGGGCGTTGTTCAATCATTACATCGAGGACACTTTAGGCCTTGATTACGCAGATAAAATGCCTCCAAATGTTCTTTTAAACCTCGTTTTCATAAAATGTGCACGAGTACTTCAAGCAAGTTTCGGAAGAGCAACAGCAGAAAAAGGCATGTTCGAGAAATTAGCAGCAATATTTTACAAAAATACATAGGCAATGTCTTTCAGAATTGTTAAAAATCATACGGCTATCTTGAAAACTCAATGGTTGTCTAAAATGTTTGAATATTATTCAGAAAGAGAGAAACTAGAATAACCCACGTTGGAACCCCACCATCTCTCATGGAAATCACATGGAATTTGTTTTGAAAGAAACTTTAAGATCATCGTGGTTGTGGTCGTGATGAAAATT